CCGTGGCGCAGTGGTTAGAGTTCTGGCTCAGAACTCAGAGGTCCGACGCCAGCTCCAGCCCAACAAGCGACTTTGGTACGGAAGGAGGCGTGAACTTCCTGTTAAATGCTCTCCCGCGGTACTCTGTGATATGACTGTAAGGACTTCTGGGAGCACCTAAATAACTACAAAAAAAAAAAAAGCCTTAAAGAGATAAAAACACCTAATGTAACTTAATTGTAACTGTCCGTAAAAAAGTTTTTTATTCCTTAAGGCGAGTTTCCGCTCATCCGTTTTTCAACGGGAACGGGAAAGGAAAAAATAATCACGTAAGCATGCGTAATAAGAGTTTTTATTTGTCCGAAAGAAAACTGCGCATGCTCACGTGATTATTTTTCCGTTCCCTTTTCCTTTCCCATAGAAAAACAGATGAGTGGAAACTCACCTTTAAACCAGGTCAAGGATTGCGTGTTCAGTTGATGTATTTTTTTGAAAACCGAATTGCTCAGAATACTGTTTTCTTTATAAAAGTATATTATCTATTGAGAATAATTCTCGCAATTTTAGAGAATGTAGAAATTTGACATTATTGTCTGTAACTGTCTATTACACTTTTACTCCTGACATCAATATAGGTTTGACTTCATCAGTTTCAGGAAAAATACCTTTCTTTAGAAAGTGCTTAAAATTTTTAATTAAAGAAATTAAAATTGTTGTAGCAGTTGATTACTGTTCCGATTGTCATCGTCAGTTTAGGTTGTCTTGTTTCTTTTTGGGCTTTCAAAAGTTTAATCCAATTCTAACACGGCTAATTTTTTGTTATTTAACTTATTTTTATGATCTAAATATTTATTAAAACACCCATTACGCACGATGTGTTGAAATCTATTTATCTCATATTCACTCTTCATTTCAATTTCCCTCACTATTGGCTTTGCATGCTCAAAATACAATTCTGCATGTTTTTGGGTTAAACAATGTTATTAAGAGCCATTTTCTGAGAAAACCAGACAATGCTCAAAAGTGATATCTTTCAATCATTCTCAATTTTACATATAGTGTTATTTGTAATATTAAAAAGAAGCATGTAAATTTTTATTTTCAAAATATTTATAGTTTCTGAGTTATGGTTGGTCAAACTTTTCCCTGTTTTATACTTGAAAAGTCACTTTTGGGGTTTAAGAATTTTAAACCCATATTAAAAGCAATGAGATCACTGCAACCTAAGTTTCTTTTCATATTATGGAAGTATAGGTAAAACCTATAATAGAAAAACCAAAAAAACCTGAGGACAACTCTTGCCTTTGTCTAAAAATCATAAGCTGAAATCACACGTTTTCGAATTTGGGGCCTATTTTAAATATATTTATCTCAGAACCTAAAAGGTGCCCGCAACTTATCTTATCCTTTTTGGAAAGAGTATTCCATTGTTATTTGAATGGTCTAAAGAAACTGAAAGGATATTTTTTACAAAAAAAGTTATGAGTCATCAAAGTGTCAAAAAATGTTTTAACCTGCGTTCAAATATCAGCCATTATGGAAAATGAGAAAGGTCCTAAGAATGAGAATACAGATTTTATTTTACTACATATTACAATTTATTTGATGGAAAAAAAAACTTAGGGGGTAGTATTGCATTGTTGAAATAACTTTACGTCAAAATGATGCTAAATCTGATTTTTTAAAATAATTTTTACGATTGTAGACTTGAAAAATATTTTTCTTCTAATAAAGATCTTTGACTTGATGTTTATTTGAACATAATTAATTATTGTTACACATTATTTCTTGATGATACAGTTATTCAGTATGTTTTATTGAGCATTTACTTCTAAATTATTTAGAACAGAGAATGAGCTTTTATGTTAAATACACTTTTTAAAAAAAACAGTTGTAAAATATATGTCAGAGCTAGAGGTCGTTGTTGAAAATGTTTGCAAAGTTAATGATGTCAAGTGTGGACCATATCCTCGTTTAAATGAACAAAGGTTATTCAAGATACAAGATCTGACATTGGATGTCAAAGCACACTTTGTAAAAATTAAAGTAAGAAATGCTCTTAGCAGTTGTAAAAAAACTTTGCATAATATTTATAACAACATAAGTTTTATTTTTTTAGGTTTTAAAGAGACACCAAGAGATGGAATGGACAGAAAAGTCACTTATAGAAAACTGAGGGTGCATATCAATTTCTGATAACGACTATATATGCCCTTACCATAGATTTAACTTTGGTAAGAATTTGTTTACAACCGTATTTCAAAAAAAAAAAAAAAAATTAACTACTAAACCTTTAAAATAAATATTTCAAACTTTGATTTTTGTTAAAATTTAAGGTATTGGTTGGGTTCCTCCAAGAAGATGCTGTCACCCAATGCATCAATTAAGTGTTAGTAAGAAATCATTTACTGTAAGAAGTATTTCAATAAATATGTCAACAAATGTTTCAAAATATTACAACAAAAGTGTTCCAGTAGGTTTCGTATTTTGTCACAACCACCTAAAGTCAGAGCGCATTCTAAATCAAACTAAAACAAGTACTGCCGCTAACGAAGAGCTAGTTGAAGACACAACTGATTTTGATTTTGAGCCTGAAGAAATTTTACTTTCTGGAGAAAAGGTTGAAGATGCTACATTTACTGGTAACAGCCTATCAGAAGCACTCCACATCAGCCCTTTTCAGTTTCAGATAAAGAACAAAAAGATATCTGATCTCAGCAATGGAACAAAAAATAATTTACGAAGAAAATTTGAAAGAGCCAAGGTACATCTCGAAAAAAGGTTCGCTGAAGCTGTTGCCCCAGATCAGAGTGAAGACTTTATCTCAATTGTTTTAAAAAGATCTTTGGAAGCTTCAGACAATGATGTAGTACCTGATGAACTAAAAAAATTGGTTGAAATTTATGAAGAAAGTGACTTTATTGGAAAACATATTGTACAGTGTTTGATTGAACATGAAAAATTTACTAAGAAGTTGCTAATGAAAGTTTTTGGATGCTCCAAATACAAGATAGACCAGGTACGAAAAATAAAGAATGCAAACAAAGGTATAACTATTCCTGTCGAAAATTCTTTATATAAAATTTATATATGAAACTCTTTATGGAAGGTGAAGTTTCAGGAAAAAAGTTTAGCCCAGAGCAGGTGCACCTTTTAATAAAAAAAGAGCTCCAAGTCTCAGAATACGTAACAACTCAAATAAGATCACTATTTTCACGTTGGAGCAGGCTAAAAAAAGATAAAAGATTGAGAGAACCAGTTGATGTTGGTAGTACTAATATGGATAACGAAGAAGAAGAAGAAGAAGAAGAGATAGCCGATCAAGGTAATAATTTTATATTTACTCTCATTAATATATATTTTATTATTATCTTGTAAGTATTTAAATAAATATTTTTACAAATATTTATTTTTTTCTCTCCTTAGATCAAGAAGAATTAGCAAATGAAGAATTTGAAAAGGAGTTTATAAAATTTGCCATTGATTTATCTTGTGCATGGCATGAAAACGATTGGATTGTCGCTATTTATATGGGCAATTGGTATCTTGGTATTATAAATGAGTTGCTTCATTTTTATTCAACGTTAAAAAAAATGTTTTTCATTCAAAGAAAATTTTTTTTTTTTTTTAATTATTTGATCTTATCGATTTTTTAAACTATTTTTAAAATTAGAAAGATCATAACTCATATTAGGTTCTCAGTGATGGTTACACGGTGAGCTGTATGAAGTATGCTTCTGCAGACAAGAACCTTTTTAAGTGGTCAGCTTTTCCTGATGTTATAAAGTACAATGACAGTGAATTCATTTGTAGAATTCTACCACCATTACCGTTAAAACAGCACGGAGACTATAAGCTTATAGATGAACAATTTGAAAAAACACAAAAGGAATTTCAAGCAACGATGCATTAAAATCAAAGACTCAAGAATAAAGATATGTAAAACAATCACATAACAAGATAAAGACATAATATATTTAAATATATTGATTAACTCCGCTGCTACATTCGGTTTTCTTCAAATATATAAAAAAAAAATTTTTAATATATAAAAAATTTTCTTTTTTGAAGTTAGGTTATTTAAACAATGCAATATTACCCCCTAAGTTTTTTTTTTTGCATTAAATAAATTGTAATATGTAGTAAAATAAAATCTGTATCCTCATTCTTAGGACATTTCTCATTTTCCATAATGGCTGATTTTTGAACGCTGGTTAAAACATTTTTTGACTTTTTGATGACTCATAACTTTTATTTGTAAACAATATCCTTTCAGTTTCTTTAGACCATCCAAATAACAATGGAATACTCTTTCCAAAAAGGATAAGATAAGTTGCGGGCACATTTTAGGTTGCGAGATAAATGTATTTAAAATAGGCCTCAAATTCGAAAACGTGTGATTTCAGCTTATGATTTTTAGACAAAGGCAAGAGTTGTCCTCAGGTTTTTTGGTTTTTCTATTTAAAGTTCTACCTATACTTCCATAATATGAAAAGAAACTTAGATTGCAGTGGTCTTATTGCTTTTGATGTGAGTTTAAAAATCATACAACCCCAAAAGTGACTTTTCAAGTATAAAACGGGGAAAAGTTTGACCGACCATAACTCAGAAATTATAAATATTTTGAAAAAATATTTATAATTTCTTTTTTACCAAATCAGGCTTCTTTTTTACCAAATCAGTATTACTGTATAAAAAAATAGAGCGCGATTAAAAGATATCACTTTTGAGCTAACAATACTTTTGCCTGGATTTATCAGAAAACGGCTCTTAAATTGTTTAAGCTCGATCTTATAAGAATAATAAAATAGCTTGCGCATTTTTAGATTTTTTCTCTAAACCTATATGCACGGCAGCAGTAAAACTTGTTACACCTAAAAGTTCTACAGCAATGGATCAGAGAACTAAAACTCTGATTATATGCACTTTAAAATTTAACTTAAACTTAAATCCAGTAGTAATGTAATTCTTTTTGACGATATCTTGACAAATTGGTAAAAGGTTAATAATGTAAAAACCTCTTGTAAAAATTTGCCTGTTTCATATTTACATCCTTTTAAATAATACAATGGTAGAAAAATTTCAACAATTAGTTTTCAGAGTCCAGTTTCGACAATTTTTCGGTTTTCTCAGCATTTTCTTTTGATTCACCAGTGGAGGCATTGTCATCAGTTTTTTCCACCCAAGGTCGTTTTCTCTTACCTTGAAATTTTGAATCTCTACCGCCGCCTCGACGATCGCCTCCACCACCACGGTTGTTTCTTCTTCCTCTATTATTTTTAACGCCTGGAAAAACGATATTTTGTAATCAATAATTTATTTTAACTTGACAAAATATTTCATTAATTAAAAAATAACTTTAAAACCTTTTCTTTTTTGCAGATCTAAACGTAATGTTTTCCAATAATTCTCTTCTTCTTCACCTAAAATAAAAAAACTTAACGTAAAGACGTAAAAACATTGAACACTTACATTAAAAAGAAAAATCCTTCCGAAATTATTTTTTAAAATTTTACCTTCCAAAACTCTGACGGAAGATTCAACTCCATTAATGATTACTTTTTTCTCGTCGTTAGCATTTTTAACTGAACACTTACATTAAAAAGAAAAATCCTTCCGAAATTATTTTTTAAAATTTTACCTTCCAAAACTCTGACGGAAGATTCAACTCCATTAATGATTACTTTTTTCTCGTCGTTAGCATTTTTAACTGAATCAATAGCATTCTGTGCCGCATGCTCGTCTTGGAAGCGAATAAATCCCTACATAGATAATCGCATAAAAAACTTATTACATGCTGTAGCAAAAAAAAGTTTACAGGTATCAACTACAAACAACAAGTAATTTAATAGTAGATTCAAGAAAAATGATTAAAATTTTGACTGTACTGATGAAACAAGTCAAACAAACTAGAACGGAGATTGAACGAAGAAATCCGATACCCGTTCAAGTTTGTTTTATATTGTTTTCAGAAAGTGTTCACGATATAACAACTGGTATAATACCAAATTTAATGTACTAAATAGGTTTTAAATTTACTGAAAAGAATAAATAATTACTAAAAAGTATTACAAGACAAAGCTGTATATTGCGCAAAAAAAGCGGGACAAACTTTTTTTTTTAAACCAAACTAATAAATAAATTGGCTTAAAAGAAACTTTACATAAATATTAATAAATTTTATTAACTAAAATAAAAAAATCAAGAGTTAAGTTTTCGTTTGAAATTCAAACATTTACAAACATTTTAACAATACGATTAACCTGGCAATAGCTATAAAGATAAATATAGTAACGTACTAACGTAAAATATTACAACATATAGTAACGTACGTAAAATTTTATTATTTGATATCTATAAAACTTTATCACCTCAGTATCTCCTTTTTCAAAATCTACCCAAGCAATTTGGTGATGCTGACCAAACAATTCCTTTTTTAAAAATAAAATATAGATCTGTTAATCATGCTCAAAGCTTTTTTCATGCTTTGAAAAAAATCTTTACACTGACACTGACCTTCAAAATTTCTCGATTTGTTTCCTCCCCAACACCTTTAAAATGTAACACTGCACCAGGTTTAATATCCAACTAAAAAAATTAATACTTATGAAAGGTATATTAAAAAAAAAGATTAAAAATCTTTTTTTTAATATACCTTTCATATATAAAGAGTAATCAAATACAATTATATACAAAAGAGAAAAATATTTCTTTTTTTTTGTTTTGATTTTTTTTTTTCAATTTATTTCCTTAACTACTTTTATGTTTATTAGAAGAATTTAATTTAAAACTTTACTTAAAAACTTGCTTTTTACTTTAAAAATCGTAAATATGAAAATTTAATTTTGTGTTTCTAACCTTGAACTTTTCTTCATGACCTCTATAAATAATATAACATAATATAAATTTTTATTGTTCATACTCTAGTATTTCTCTCTCTCTCTCTCTCTCTCTCTCTCTCTATATATATATATATATATATAAAAATATTTATCTATATACATATGCTAGTATAAAAATACAAGCATGCATGCATGCATATATATATATATATATATATATATATATATATATATATATATATATATATATATATATATATATATATATATATGTATATATATATATATATATATATATATATATATATATATATATATACATATATATATATGTATATATATGTATATATATATATATGTATATATATATATATATATGTATATATATATATATATGCATGCATATATATATATATATGCATGCATATATATATATATATATATATATATATATATATATATATATATATATATATATATATATATATGCAAGTAATTTTACTCATTTTATGAATAAAATGATTAACAACAAACAATTCGATATATCTGAAAATCTTTTTACTTTTGGTTTCTTCAAAAGCGTTACCTCACATTTATAAATAGTCACCCTTCAAACTACATTAAATGGAAACCAAATACAAAAATACAATGGTATTATAATATTTACACATAAAAATGAAAACACTTTTTATTAGCACTGACAAAATTTATCTTTTTGCTATTTATGATGCTTCTTTTTTTTATTCCTCAACCAATGCACATTCAAGTTGGTAAATTCCTGGGTAACTATTTAGAATTATTTAAAGGTCTTCTAAAACAAAAACTGTTTTTAAGCCAAATTTAAAAAATCAAACTTATTTTACTTTTCAAATTTATTTTACTAAATCAAATTTACTTCATAAAAAAAAAAAAGAGTAGCTGTTGCCAAAAAACTGATAGGAAAACATGCATCTCATTTTTGTTAATTCACATTAAAAAAAAACTCTCCTCTATGGCTTTTTTGTTTGTATTATTTTTTTCCTTGAAAAGTTTATTAAATTATACAAATAACATAAAAATCTTAAAAAGTTCATTAACGCTCAATAAAATTTTGCTTCGCAATAGTGAAACAAAAGGTTAAAATTTAGATGTAAAAAGTTTTAGGAGGATTTAAGAGACTTCAATGAACACTTTTTTGACATTCTATTGATTATTTAAATTAATTTATATTTATTTATATATATATATATAATTAGTAAAAATAGTTAAAAAATAAATATAATAAAATATAACTAACATCTCTGATAAAAATTTGGTAATAAATACTTACGCATTATCTTTTTTATGAGAATCTTTTTTCTCAATACTTTTACTTTTAAAGTAATCATCTCTGAAAAAAAAAAAAACTTGTAAACACTTTTACAAATTCATAGTATATACTCTACAAAAGTTGTTTATTATTATGCAATATTATTAAGAAATAATTATAATTAAGAATACACTTAAATCACTAAATAGAAAAAAATTAATTTTGGAATAGAGAGTTTCTAAGATATTAAGACAAACAAATAACAATTTTTAAGATTCCAAATTAATTAGAAAAAGGTTTTGGGTTGGGACAGATAGTGCTAGGATTATGATATTAGGGATGGACGTTAGTGGGCTTAGACTTTGAAATGAGAGCAGGAGGGAGGCAGCGGTACAAATTCTCAATTTTGTAAAAATGCTGTATAAAATTTATTCCTGGCTAATACTCTTAGAGTATACATTGAATTTTGTAATAGTAAAAAGTTTAAATTTTTTAATTGAATTAAATAAATATAAAATTTAATGATTTACCATATTCAACATTTAATGTTGAAGTATCCGGTATCCAGTTCTTACAGAAAAACTTTTAATTGATTTTTAGTTAATTTTTGAACTGTATTTAAAATTGCATAAGAAATAATCATTAACATAAACACCAATTAAAAGTCCAAAAAATGGACTAACCTGGAATAATTTCAACAAAAACAATTTTTCAAAAACAATATACAAACTTTGCAAAATAAAAATATTAAGAGAAAAAACTTTTTTAGTAAAAAAAAGACACTCTAATTTAAGAAATTTAAAAGCAAATATCCAAAAAACTTTCCATAATATCATTTATTTAAAAAGTTTTTCACATTACCATAAAATAAAAATTCTATATCTCCTTATTAACCAGTAGTGAGTACGTGTAGCAACAAAAGATTGTTACGATTTGGAAAAAATTAAATTAAATTAAACAAAATAAAGATAAACTTTTACTTGGCGATAAATATAATGAAGCTATTTAAAAGTTTATTATTTTAAATAACTAAAATACAAAAATTTCCGCTTTATGATTATCAATAAACAACTTGTTTATTGATTCCTGCCATTTCACAGTGATTTAGAAACATTTATAATTCGGCCAAAATACAGATTTTTGAATAACGAAATTTAAATGTTACTAGCTAACTATTTTCTACAGTTTCTTCTAAATGTTACTAGCTAACTATTTTCTACAGTTTCTTCTAAATGTTACTAGCTAACTATTTTCTACAGTTTCTTCTAAATGTTACTAGCTAACTATTTTCTACAGTTTCTTCTAAATGTTACTAGCTAACTATTTTCTACAGTTTCTTCTAAATGTTACTAGCTAACTATTTTCTACAGTTTCTTATGACTCTGACAATATAAAAAAGTAAGTACTGAAATAATAGATTTAAACATTAATTTATGTTTAAAAATGACAAGAAACAGCTTTTTTTATCAGTAAAAATTTTATCATTATTAAACCTTTTAATTTAATTTTTATTACATACAAAGATATAGACAATTTTATTTTAATTTATAAAATATTTGAATATGTATTTATACAAGTTGTAAGAAATGCATTTTTAAAAATGCAATCATAATGATTTTAAACTGATTTTTATGGTGCCAGGACTTTTTCCTTGAGACTTTCTTTGCTAATTCCTTTTTCAAAGAGAGTTAGTATCATTCTATAAGAAATCAAAAAAGTTAACTGACCCAACCTGCCCTATTTTGAAACAATGTAGTTATAAAAAGCTCATTTTATAAACAAAAACTAATGATGTAATATGATGTAAATTAATTTCAATTTTTATGTTTTGAGAGTTTTTCCTGACATTTCTGAACTAAACTTTGTAAGCATGCACTTATGTGCATTCAAAAGCTAGTATAATTTTTCTTTCACTTTTGTGTAATTGAATATAAAGTCTACTAAAAATCAACTTTATTTAGTTATTAAAGACAGAATTTTGATTGATAGATACTTTTCGATAACTTTTTTTTTACAAAAAAATGTATGCCCCTTGATCATATTTGACCCTTCCTTTAGGACTTTTAGCCTTTTTTCCCTGTCTATCTTTTTTACACAATAGAGCGAATTTTCAAAAATTTGAAAAAATATTTAAAAAAAATTAATTTTGGGCTAATTTGAAGTTTTTCCTGATCACTAAGCATTTGCACAAAAAAAAAATAAACAAAAAAAAAAAAGCAATACTTAGTTTTATTCAGTATTCAGATTGTCGGATATTCTATGAAAATTATCTAGATTTTCAATTAGTCAAAGTTAGGAAGATTATCTAGATAATTGATCATTTATTTTTAAATTACTGCATATTTTAGTCAATATTTTTTAAATAAAAGGTCCTTTTTGGGATTACACTATATATACCTGATTTTTAAACAACATAAAATTTACTTTAAACTATGGATTTAAAATTTTCTTTGTATAAACTAAATTCAAAAATCTTGTTTTATTGTTCTAAAATTAAATATTTTATTTTGCTGTTCTAAAATGTCACAAAAAATCTGGGGGGGCTGATAAGTGCAAATAACATAAGTGCAAAGCGTTGCAAAAACTGGCATAAGTGAGCCGAAAAAATTTGCAAACATAGGCAAAATTCGAATTGGCATAAGTGCAAAGCAGTTACAAAAACTGGCATAAATATGAATTGGCATAAGTGCGCTAAATAAAATAGCAAATTTTAACATAAGTGCAAATTGACATTTGTAAGTATTACATAAATTGACATTTGTAAGTATTACATAAATGCGAACTGGCATACTTATGCCAGTTCGCATTTATGTAATACTTACAAATTTGTTTGGCATACTTATGCCAGTTTTGCAACGCTTCACACTTATGCCAGTTCGCACTTATAAAATTTGTGCTGATTCGGTCGTCCAAAAAAATCATACAACTTACATAAAAAACCCTAAAACAGATAGATGCAATTTGAAAAAAAAAATAGTTTAAAAGGTTTCGTTGTAGCATTTATGCCTTTGTAACAACTAGTGATGTACCGATATCACTTTTTTGGCTGATGCCGATACCGATGGATGGGTAAAGGATGATACCGATGCCGATGAATTTACTAATTATTAAAAATTTGAAAATATAAAACTATACAACTTTAAGTCGGTAATGGTAAATAAATACTTGGACCCAAATCAAAGCCAAACAATTATTATAAAAGATATTAGAAAAACTCAGTTAAAAAAATATATTTTTTTATTTTTTTTCTACTATAAAAAGAAAACTTTCAAAAAAGAAAATAATTATATGCAGTTTACTTAGAATTCTTTTCTAATTTATTAGTAATTTAGATATCTAAACAACAATCATATATTGTTTAGACATACAAATTATTTTTAAATAAATAAATTGTTTTTAGAATAATTTTGTTTTGTAATGTTTGATCCCCGGTAGTACAGCGCTTAACTTGTTTCTACATGCAGCGGCATTGTTCATTAAGTTTTGTTTTTCTGAGTTATAAAGTTGAGAGTGGGTTGTAACCAAAACTAAAGTAGCCTCCTCAATTGAAGTGGCCTTCATGGCCTTAGGAAGGTGAATTAAAATAAAAAAATTAAAAATATAGAAATATACTTGGTACTTGGCTATACTTAAATACATGAAACAAGGCTGAACTATTTGCAAAAAAATTCTCTTCAAATCCCACTCTCGAATCTTATGGCCATTCTCTTCTTTCCATTTTAATTAAACAGGTTAACCTATTGTTAGACATTCAAATCATTTCAGCTTCAACTGCTCATAGTCATATCTCGATTAAACTCTTCTACGGTTTGTGATCCAGACAGCATTCCTGTCACAGTCTTACAAAATTGTTCTCCAGAACTCTCTTCAATTTTCTCTAAACTTTTTAATAAGTGCTTGACTGAATCTTGTTTTCCTGCCTGCTGGAAAATGGCATCTGTTGTTCTAATTTTTAACTCTGGTAATTTTTAACATACTGACCCCTCTGATTATTGTCCAACCAGTCTTCTTTCTATTGTTAGCAAGGTCTTTGAAACTTTGATAAACAAATTCCTCACATTCCATCTCGAGTCAAATAACTTGCTGTCAGACAAATAACTATTGCAGTACTGTCGACATGTCTATACTGATGAATGGCAACCCTCTCACAGATTCCACTTTTTTATGTCTTCTTGGATTATCATTTACTACTAACTTTTCATGGAAACCATATATACAATTGATTGCTAAACTAGCATCTGCTAAGGTTGCTTCTTTTTATTGTAGTCACCATTTTTTCTTTTGATTCTATTTCCTAACTCTACAAATCTCTTATTTGTCCCTGTATGGAATACTGTTATCACTGCACTTTCTCTTCAAGATAAGGTCTAAAAACGCATTGTAAACAGAGTTGGACCCGGTCTATTTGCTAAGCTCGAGCCTCTTTCCCATCGTCATAAAGTTGCATCTCTTTTTCTTTTCTACAAATACTATCATGGTTGCTGCTCAAATGAGCTTCTATCTCTAGTTCCATCAACCAAAACTCATTCTTGCTTGACTTGTCATTCATCAAAGTCTCATTCTTTGACTGTATCTGTCTCTTCATGCTCCAAAAACCTTTATTTATCTAGCTTATTTCCACGCACTTTTACCCTTGGGAACTCTGTCCCATCTTCATGTTTTCCTGACTCATACAACCTTCAACTTTTTAATTCTTCTGTCAACCGTTTTATTGCTCAATAACTCTTTTTTCCTAGCAACTCCCAACTTGATAGTGGTTGCTTGAAGCCTTATTGGGAGTAAAAAATAAAAATAAAAATATGTAGATAACAATGCTTAAATAGGTTACTTTTATAGCTTTTGCCTGTAAACAAAGTCAAAATAAAAATTGTTCCAAAAATTTTAAGTACTGCACAAAGCTTAGTTTACTTATTATTTAATTATTATAATAATGCAGGATAAAAATATCAAAATGTCATCGGTTGGAAAATCGGTAAAAAAGGCAGATGTTGATTGCGCAAAAAATGGCCAATTAAGCTGATGGCAATTAATTGGTACATCACTAGTAACAACCAAGATTATTGTAGGGGTGCATCAATATACCCCTACAATAAATTATTTAAGAAACTAATTCTACCAAGTAAAAACAAAAATCACTTTGTTATCTGACAGCAATTTAAACTTCATCAAAAATTTCAACTTGAACAAATATAGAAACTTAAAGCATTTTTCACATATTTTACATTGCATAATTTTTTTAAACTTTAGACAGATGTATGAAAAAAAAGAGAAAGCATCAAGAACACCTTTATAACAACATTAAAAAACAGCCTTAAAAATGTACACCAGAAGCAGTAAAATACTATTTATTTCAATAACTACATTTTTTTATACCTTTTTTAAAAAACACTTTTTTTTAGAAAAAAAAAATGTATAAATTGTAAAATATTATTTAAAAATCATGTATAAATTGTAAAGTATTACTTAAATGTTATTTAACTTCTTTTTTAAAAAAAAAAACACTTTAAGATAATACATATGTATTAAATTGTAAAATAAATGTTATCTAATATATTTTAGTATATCAAGAAATAATTTTATATAGTATACAATTTTTTTATATAAATAATAAACAACTTTACCTTAACATAACTGTAAGACTTGATTCACCATACTTTAACTCTTTGTTATCTGTCAGCAATTTAACTTCATCCAAAGTTCCAACTTCAACAAATAAAGAACCTTTAAACTTTTTTTCTGCATCTTTGCGCAACTTTATAAATACAGTCTATACAAAGTATTTAAAAGTGAGTTTATTAGATAAACTGTGCATTGAAGACACTTAGAATTCTCTACAAATTATATATCTCTACAAACTTTAATATATCACTACAAATTCATACCTTAATATGTCTCTATAAACTCTTACCTTAATATTTTGTTTGTCAAAAAATTCTTGTGCATCATCTATAGTGAAGAGCTCTGGAAATCCTTTCTAAATCACACACAAAAAAACCATAAATGGATTACAATTAAGAAAGGTTCTTAATTAAAATGTACCATTTCACTCAACACAACCTTTATATTTCATTTACTGGATAAAATATTTATTAAATTAGTTGAATCTAATTCAAATAAAATATAAATAACTATTTTCAATTTTTTGATTAGTTAACACATTTTTTTTAGTTAGCGTACTTATACACATTATAGCCTGACAACAAAGAGACATGTACTTTTGATATATAACATAAAACTTGCGCATTTTTATAAAAAATTCAAATAATTTTTAATGTATTGTATATTAAAAAGAATTAAACAGAAACTAGAATAAAAAAGAACTTAAGAAATGTGACTAAATTAAATCAGTGAAGAACCCAGACTTGTTTTAGTACCACTTTACCGGTAAAATTATCTTTATTTTTAATTTTTCTTTTGATTTTTTATGAAAAAGAAAAAAAAAATTAGTTTCAAATGCAGTAGTATATAAATAATTCTCAGTTTAATTTAGCTACCTCATTTTTTCTTCAGGAAAATAAAAAGAATTAAAAAGAAATTGCTTTTTTACATAACTACGTTAGTAATTTGCCTTCTGTTATTAACTGGACATAATTTTTAAAAAAATGAAAGCCGTTAAGAAACTTAATTTTAAAACCACATTGCAAAAATTTATAACTATCGAATGTATAAGATTTGCTTTTTTGAAAGTTAAAGCGTTTTTAAATATCCATTCAGCATAAGGTTTATTTTTGGCAATTAAGAGTAAACTGCTTTTAATAATAAATGAACGAAAGTCAAAAAAATCAGTCCTTATAACTATCGCGTAAATTTTATTTTTAAATGAATGAACTTTTGATCTTTAGCTTGTTATTTTAGTTTACGTAAGGAAAAGGAAAAAACGAAGTATAATCTTTTTCAGACAGTTTTTTTTCCTTTCAATATTCTTTATAAAATAATAATAAAAAAAAAGGTTTTAATATCTTAATAAAAGTTTTATTTAGATCTTTTTAAAATAACCCATAGTAAATGTAATTTATTTATTAAAATGTAATTTTTTAAATTATTCTTAATAATTAAAAATATATTTTGTTTCAAATATGTTTTTAAAAATATAATATGGTTTTTAATCAAAATTATAAAAATTTCTAAAACAATGTTTACTGTAATTATCTCTTTAATTATCTATAATTTAAAAGGCCCCTTAAAACCACTTTAAAAATTATAACCTTTAGTGAAAAGTAAATGAACAATTTTACTAATTTTAAATCAAAAATTTAAATTTAAAATAATTGAAAATAAGTTTATTAAATGCTTATGTTTTTATTTGAATAGTTTATTAAATACGTTTATCGAGTTTGTTTATTAAATGCTTATGTTTTTAATTCAAATACAAGGACGTAAAACTATTTTGTTAATTTTGCAAATATTACGTGATATAATATATGTAAATATATTATGTAATGTAAATATTGATTAAAAATTGTTTAAAATATTTTTATTATTTTAAATTAAATTTACTAAAACATAGTTAATAACTGTTTAAAATACTTTAAACAATTTTCAATAATTATTTACTGATAGCATGGTATATGCAACAAAAACATTTATTAAAATCTTAGGTAAAATAATTTTATTTCAGCTAAAGTAACATCGTCCACCAGTAAATTCATGTATTCAAAAAATGCCTTTAAATCAACACCTTATTATAGGATAAAACTGAACAAGATAAACATAAATGATTATTAAGAAAATGATGATTAAAAGTTATTGTTGTGGCACCTGTTTAACTAGAGGAGAATGAGGGGGATGGGGAAATCAAAAACATAATCCTCCCCCCCTCCCTCAACGTTGCTGGAAAAAAAAAAAAAACGGTATCCCCAAATAAACTCTAGGTTCTTTACTGTAATTGTAAGAAACTTGACAGAATTAAATTTTAAGAAGTGTGACGAATTAAATTTTAAGAAATGTGACAAATTAAATTTTAAGAAATGTGACTGAATTAAATTTTAAGATCATGCTAGAGATGCAGCCACTGCAAAAAAAAAAAAAAAAAAAAAAAAAAAAATATACAAAAGTAGTAAAAAATTAATCATTCGTAGTAATTTCAATAAAATTAAAAAGAGAAAGTATAACTTCAATAAAATTATATAGAGAAAAAAAATCAAGTAATATAACCAAAATAAAAAATTGTACAAAAATAGTAATATAACCAAACATTCTACAAAAATAAAATATTGTACCTTTTATCTTTATTTAAATTTTTATTAATAAAATAATAACATGTGAAATCTATAAAAATTAATTTTCACAAAAATTTGAAAACAGTTTTAAAAGTAAATTCCTTCTATTCCATTTTTAGTATTGCACTTTTTTGCTTTTTACTTTATATCTTCATTATTTCACCACAATAACTTTACAAAACAGAAATATACTTAATAGAACACCTTAACACTTTAATGTGTGTTAAATGCAAAGAACTAATTACCTAAGCACATAAGTATCTCTATCACAATATATGCACAACAAATTTCTTCTGGTGTTTTGATGTTTTTAAAACTTCAATGTCTTTTGTTTGTTATAGTATTTATATAAAACAGCAAATGTTATAGATCAAAACTGTAAAGTAAAACTTGATACAATTTTTATTATTACATAATCTAAAGTGTTCATAAGTAAGATATTTGTATACACTTTTGTTGACATTTTCTTATTAAAAAACTCTTTCTCAGTATTAACTCGTGTTGGCTATTACAAACACACACACAAATAATCATATATAATTAATTAAAATATTAGGTTGCTCAATAGATAATATGATTTATGAGGTAAATTACCTGACGAGGCTGACCACAATAGTTTAGCAAAATATTGTTTAAATATTCTTATATTAAAATATATTCAAAGAATTATTATAAGCTGCCATTTTTATCGGAATCAACTTGTACATGTCTTATATTACATAATATAGTAAAACTATAATAAAATATATTTGCTTTTTAAAATTTAAATAGCAAATAAATTAATTCTAAAAGTCCTGCATGCTAGCATAAAAATCTGACCAGCGCTTTTTTGTGCACTGGTATTAAATTTCAAACATAGAAAGCTGATATAGCAAGAAAAGAAAATAGCATAAAGCGTACCCTTTACAGATATTTTTTTTATTGTAATAACTTATATCATTACCATGTATAAAGTTTTTTCTTTTGAAGCTTTTCGTATCATAGGATCATCATGATCAGGCAATGGATGATTCTCAGATCGACGAATTTTATATTCAGTTTCATGAATTTCTAGTAATCCACTTTGTGATTTTTTTAAAGCATTTTTTATTTCATCAAGATCAGTAGAAAGTTGTTTCAATCTGGCAAAGGTTGTCAAACATTCTATGGTTATCCCTAAAGATAAAACCAATATTTTAATAGCAACAATTAAAATGTCTATAAAACCTGTAAAGATAAATTAATACCGAGAAATATATTTAGCTAAATCTTAAATTTTATTATGCTCACTATTTTCAAATATTTATCCATATTTTGTATAAAGTACAGGGTTTTTTCATAAAATTAAATTAATTAATTCTAACTAAATAATATTAAAATAATTTTGAAATGATATAAAACAATATAATAACAATATTATAAAAATTAAACAATAAAAGCATAGGTATCAAACTTTATACAAAAACTAAAATTATTCAACTTTAAAGCTCAACATTTTAAACTCGGTATTATCAGTGATATGGTGGCAACTCTAACATCACACATTTAAAATATATTAATGCATAAGTAGACTAGTAGTAGTGGTACACTAGGGCTTACAATCAGAAGATTCAAAGTTCCAATCCACCATATGCCTTAGAAACACCACACTCAAGCAGTTTTTAGGAGTCTATGGTAAAGTGAATTTAAAACAAATAAATAAAAAGCTAGAAAAAAAGTAGCTTCCTTTACTATTTTTTTCTTCTTACTTGTGCAACTAATATTTTAGGCCTCTCTAGTGGAGCCTTTAGGTAGTAAATAAAATAAAAAACAATTAATTATGTAATATTTGTGAATAAACAAGATAATTATTTCTAATAGAAATAATTTGTATGAACATCTTTAAAATTTGACTATTAATAATAATAGTCAGCAGTAGAGATTTGATGTATGATAAATGATTTTAATTTTTTTTTTTAACTGAGTGAACTTATTAAAAAAAATGTTTAACTTTTCTTAAATTTTGTATGAGTAATAAGTAAAAAAGATTAAAATATATATTCATAAACTTGTATGTATGGAAAACAAAAATGTTTTCCATACATACAAGTTTATGAATATATATTTTAATCTTTTTTACTTATTACTCATACAAAATTTAAGAAAAGTTAAACATTTTTTTTAATAAGTTCACTCAGTTAAGAAAAAAAAAATTAAAATCATTTATCATACATCAAATCTCTACTGCTGACTATTATTATTAATAGTCAAATTTTTAAGATGTTCATACAAATTATTTCTATTAGAAATAATTATCTTGTTTATCAAAAAAACACATGTTTTATAAATAAATTTTTTCTAGTTTTTCTTCTATTTATTTTGTTATTCTTTAAAATTTTTATTTTTTTAGTTTAATTTTTGTATTTTTTTTTTTATAGATTTTATTCTCTTTTCAGTTCATGGTTTGTTTAATTTAAGTTTACTTTGTTTTTTTAGAGTCTTTTTTTAAAAGTACTAATTATCAAAACTTGCAAAGAGCTGCACCAAAGTTGTCAAAACAAAGCATTATATGCATGGTCATATAAGACATGCGACCGCACACCTATTGCCTGAAGGCCTGTATTATCTGCTTTATCATGTTTGCTATTATCATAATCCTGATTCTGTTCCCTACCATTTCAAACTTATTATTTGTTCCTAGATGAAATATTATTGTCATAAATGGGCTGGTTCTTCTAATGATACCCTTTCTTTTTTAGAAAAGGTCCAAAACGCATGGTATTGTTTGACCTGCTTTATCTTCTAAAGCTTGAGCTTCTCTCCTATTGTTTTAAAGTTGCATCTCTATCTCTTTTCTAAAATACTATCATGGTTGCTGCTAAAGGAACTATTATCTCTAGTTTTGTCAATCAAAACTCATTCTAGCTTGACTCGTCATTCAGAAAAGCCACACCTTTTGAGTGTATCTAGTGTTGTTTGACGTCCGGCTTTTACGCAGGAGAATACAGCGTCAAAACTGTAAAAATAATTTTTTTTTTAAGCGTGTTCTCCTTCGTAAAAACCAGACATCTGGCAATCCTAAGGGTATCTGTCCCTACATAGTCTAAAAACTTTTATTCATCTAGTTTTTTTTCACACACTTTAACTCTTTGGAGCTCTTAAAATCTACTCTTTATGTTTTCCTCACTCATACAACCTACAACCTTTTATCAAACTTTTCTATGCTCTATTCTTTTTTTTCTAATAACACCAAAGTTATGGTTGCAGCCTTAGGAGTGAATTAGAATAAAAAATAGAAATTTGAAAAAATTATCCATATTTTACAAGTTGTTTTTAAAGTCTTTTTGAAGTCAGTAATACTTTTATAAATTAATTTTAATTTTTTGTACATTGAGGTTACAAAATCAAATTTTAATCTAGAACCTAGATCACTTCGGGTAATCTTAAATATATTTATTTTTTTATTTATATCTATTCTAAGAACATGGTTTAAAAAAAAATCATAATGCCAAAATCTATTATTGATTTAATTATATGCAGAAATAATATTAGAAATTTATTGAGTCATTTAAAAAAAATTGTTTAGAAAAATTGTTTTAAAAAATTTGTATATCATATAAGACATTTAAGCACACAGCAGCAAGCATCCTTGCTGCTGGTGTAAAGCTTAATCAGACAAACTCAGTGACATTAGAGCCTTGAGAAGCATTGGATCTCTTAAAAGAGACTACCAAGCATTAGTCAAGAAGGGAGCAAACTTTAAGACAGCAAAGGTTTTCAAAAACTCAGTACATCTCCCCCTTTTTAACTGTTGCCAGAGACACTGGAGTAAAGTGTTAACTCTTGGTTGTAATTGTTGAAGATTTTGCAGTAACTTACTTTAATGTCAAAATATTGTTTGATCTCATTCAAGTAAACAAGCTCCTATTCATTATCAGCACTGATCTTAAACAGCCAATATCATATAAGACATTTAAGCACACAGCAGCAAGCATCCTTGCTGCTGGTGTAAAGCTTAATCAGACAAACTCAGTGACATTAGAGCCTTGAGAAGCATTGGATCTCTTAAAAGAGACTACCAAGCATTAGTCAAGAAGGGAGCAAACTTTAAGACAGCAAAGGTTTTCAAAAACTCAGTACATCTCCCCCTTTTTAATTTGCAAATGATCAACTGATTTTGGAACTAATTTCTCCAACGAAATTGCACTTGCTTTTTGGGGTTGTGAACCATTTATTCAAGAGGGTAAGTGAGTGACCAGCCTCTCTTCACATTGCTACTCAGCCCTACTATAGTGGTCAGTTTTCCGGAAATGACTGATATAAGTTGCTAGAAAACTTATACAAACTCCAGAATCTCAATGAAGCTTATTGTGCATTCCGGCTTTCAGTTTCATAGAAACATTTTGAAAGTTCAACAAGGTGGATTCTGCCTGCTTTGGAAACTTTCTTAATCCCAGCTAAAAAGAAAAAATTGATCAGTTTAAAGAGTCATTATCGAAACTACAAATTTCAATAACGCAAGCACTTGTAACGAAGGACAAAAAGTCAAGTCTTGCTCAATAACCACGAAGCCATCAATAATTCATTAAAATACCAAAAGAAGCTTTGAAAAATTTTCTTCACCATTTTGTCTCTGTTCCTTTTTAAAAAATTGATATATAATAGCAAACATGTATTTTTTTCAAGGTTTTAGTGAAATATTGCTCATAGGTACACATTAGAGGCACATATACATTCGTCAAATATTTATAAAAGCAGTAATTTTATTCATAAAATTCGAAGTGAAATTTAGCTTGGATGTCGTAGATAGTTTAACTTAACTCTAAGCTTTTATTTATCTATTCTCTTTTCAAACGGGTTATTAAATTATCTTTATCTTTGATCTTTTAATCTTTTAAACTAAATACTTTAATATTTATTTTATTTTTTTAACCTTTTCTGCAACCTCGATGCCAGCTTTGCATATCCTTGATGTAATGTAATTTAAATAAAATATTTTGTTCAAAAAAATTCCTATTAGTTATGTTTTATTTAATGACAAAGTTCAAACAGTAAAATAAAGAAAATAAACTAATTTAATTAAAACAATGGGGAGCAATAGACTTGTTTGGTTTACCTTTTCTGATTCAGCTTTTTCTAATCTAGTTTGCTCAGCCAAATAAACTTTATATCTTTGATGAGACTCTTTACAACATTTAATGTTATTTATTGGAAAAGTTATAACTCAACAATCTTGATTAAGTCAAGTCTCTAACTGAAAAAATTGTTGCAATAATTCTAACTATTAATAGTAAAATATTGTAAAATTACTAAAAAAAAGATAAAATCTCAATGCAACAATAGTGTTCTTTTAAGCTGGTACTGTGAGCTAATATAAATAAATCTATAAAGTTCTTATTTATAGAAAATCCTCTTTCACTGTACTTTTTATCTCTTAGCCATGACTAAGAGTTAAAACACCCTTAACAAGTACAAGCAGCTGGGGGAGTTTTAGTTTTCCTGTTTCATCACATATAGTTCCCACCTGACTCCAATAATTATCTATTTGTTTATAATAGGATGGTTTGCACTTATATATTTTTTTTTATAATGTACCTCCCCAAGGCCAAGAAGGCCACTACAGAAAAGGAGGCTACTTGTGGTTATAACCCTCTCTCAACTCTATAACTCCGAAACATTAACCTTGATGAACAAACCCGCTGCGCTGAGAAACAAGTTGAGTGCGGTGCTACCAGGGACGTGGTGGGAAAATATATTATTCAGGTAACAAGTACTAAATACATAAGACCAATAAGATATTTGCTGTTGAGTGACAGATGTAGTAAAAAGTTCTGAATTTATATAAAAGTGTTCTGGGATGACCTCATTCTGATAAGATAACCATTGATCTCTTACTTTATCACACAGAGATTCTTGGTTGAAGAAATCTCATTTAGATGAAAAACCGGGCAAAGTTGTTTTTCCAATACTAAAGCAACTTTTAATGTTAAATTAGATACTGCACTTGTTGCACCTAGAGCAATACGCTTTTCTGGATGAAGAAATTGTGCAAGCTTTAAAAGTGAAACATGAAAAGGTAAGTTTTCTTGTAAATATGATGCAGAAGCAACATAAAACTCTTTGCACCAAGTCCTAAATTTTTCATCTACTGAACTAGATATAGCACCTTAATTTTCTGTGATTTTTGATTTTGGAGAAACCAATCATTAAAATTTCAGACTGTGACTTAAACTCTCCATTATAATTTTTTAATTTTTTGGGAAGAATAAATTTTTGAAGTAAAGAGTTTAACAGTTTACACATCGCAGGATAAAGAATGTGAATCATTGGAGATTCTGTTTGAAATAGTACTAAAAATGTTTAAAAATACTGTGCTGAAAAAACACAAAAATTTAAATACCCTCGAGTCTGAACATCATCACGCGGAGCTTCACTAATTCTTTTGTATCTATTTGTTTTAAACAAAGCATTAGTTTTTTTGTTTTGGAGGAAATGCTAAAAAATACTCTTTAAGGTTCACCCATTGTTCTAAAATTCTAACAGCAACATAGCTCATAGAAAGTCATTGTGTTTCTACATGCTTTTTAGCAAATTCAGCAACCAAATTGGTTACATCAACTATATTAGCATAATCTTTACGTCTGGCACTAGACAACTTAAAAAAAAAGTGAATATTAATAAAAAGTTTATTTTTGTCTGACCAATACTGAAGATACCCATTATACTGTTTTTTTACTTGCTTAGTTGTTGTCTCATTAAACTTAAAAGTGAATGGTGTTTTTTTATTACCAGATTTTAACAAACTTTTAACATAAAGGGTAATTCCAAACTGCATTTGATATTAAATTTTTGATTAACCTTGCTTATAATGCTTTGCCACACCAGAATCAAGAAACATAGAGCTAAATCCTGCATTGTCATTTTCAGTTGCCTTGAAACTGTAATTAAAATTGACAACATGTAAAGCTTGCATAATTTCTGTGTGAGATCTGATCATCAATATGAACATTTGAACATCCAACATTTGAAAGTGTGACAGATGTATTAAATTGTTTTTAGTTGTTTGATATTTTACAAGGATCTTTACTAACTTGATTTTCAACCCTATCATGCTTCACAAGTTGACTAATGCCACTGGCAGATATACTGAAAGATTTCTTACAACAAATGCAATGTGCTAAACTTAAATTGTTGTTAACACCTTTGACACCAAATAGATAATGAATAATAAAAAAATAAAACACAAATAATATTAAAACACATTTTATTAATAGACATTTTCTATGTGAAAAATTCACAGTAGTTACTTTTAAAAATATATAACCAGAATTTTAAAAACCTAATTTAAAAATTGATTATTTTTATTTTTGCATGCTTGGCTGACAAAAATGCACGCTTTTACGTGCTTTGCATGCCTGTGTAAGCAATTGTATGCTTTGCATGCCAAGTGGGAACCCTGCATTATGAAAAAATGAAAGAAGTTTTTATATGATATTTTTTACAGAATACCACTATAAAAATTATCATCATCAGGGTTCGAATCAAGTGATCACGAATTGCGATATCTGGAAATGCTTCTGGTCTTTAAATTTTTAGCTTTTTAAAAACCGTAAAACTGTTTTGATCACTAAACTCAATAGATATCAATTAATAAAAAAATATTTATGCCGATTTTGATATAAAATCTTTTTGTAAAACCATATTATTATTATTTTTATTAAAGATTATAATTTAAATTTTAATGTTTCAATTTATTTTATAAAACATCAGATAAAACTAGAAAAATAAAGCACGATAAAGTACGATATAAATATTAAAAAACAAGCGCTAATCACAACAGTCTTTAACAGTGATCAAATATTTTAAATAAAAAAAAATTGATAAACAAGATATAAAATACTTTTATTTTTTATATCTTATTTAAATCTCATTCAATATTTTCTTATAAATTAAACGCTTGTAACACTTTAGCTGATACGAACACAAAATTAAAAGATGGAGGAGTTAATATATCAAAACTAATTTAAACTTTTTATAGATATTTTAAAATAAAATAAAAAGAAACTCTGATAACATATTTTAAAAAAATATACTTTAAAATTTTTTTTCTTATCAAATAATTAATTTCTAATTTAAACATTTAAATTTTTAAAATAATTCCATGAACTTTCCCCCAAAATAAAAATCTATTTTAATGTTTTATATAATGCCCAAGTAGCTTTAGCATATTCTTTAATTGGTTGGTTTTTAATACAAAGTTTCATACAATACACAAATAGGTTTAGCTTTATTGGTTGAATTTTAAACTACCACAAAAGTTTTTGGAACCTTTAGTAATAATAATTTTTGTCTTACAACTTTTTTTTATTTATAATCCTTAAATTAACTGGTGTTTAAAAATACAATAATTAAAAATATTTAAATTTTGTCTGTTATTATTTTTGCATTAGTAAATTTATTGTTTTATTTTTTTCATTAATTTTTGCAATATGATGAATTGACTGTTTCATTAAAACAGTGTTAACTGCTTTTAAAAAAACTAAGAATTTAATGACCAGAAATATTTCCAGATATTGAAATTCGCAATCACTTAATTTGAGCACTGATCGCTTTTGAGAAAATTACTATCTAGTTTTACCAAGTTTTACAACCTTCTATACTATACACATAAATACTGGTTTTATATCAGTATTCCTTTTCCTGGGGTAAGTTGC